CCCCACTGAGCATGTCCCTGGGGAATGGATCCAGGAATTCTCCTTCCCAATTCACCCCTAGGGTTTGGATCTGGCCAAGCTGTGTGACCTTGGGCAAGGCACTTGGCATGTCTGAGTCTCAGTTTCCTGATCTGCAGAACGGAGGAAACATCAGGCACCTCTCACCAAGCAGGGCTGTTATAACTTATTACTCTCAGGGTTTTAAGCAGGTGGTAAAAGCTTGGAGAAAACGGCTTAGGAATTATCAGCCTTGGTTGATGGGAGATGTCCCACCTGCAGGTCAGAGATGAGAGCTCCTGTAGAGCAAAGCCTTCGTAACTCACTCCCGGGCCAGGCTCAGGTGGCCTGTTGCCATGGCCAATTGGGCTGGTTGGCCCCCCCGTCAGCTATTCTGCAGGGCAGGGGCCACCCCACCTTCCACTGCTCAACTGCTAGGCTGCATTGCTAGCCAGATGTTCAACAGCTGTCACATTCCACCAAGGGCAGCCCCACCTCTGGGGCCAGAGAGTGTGTCTCTACCACAGCAGGCATGACCGGACTGCATGAGTCAGGAGATGTCAGGCCTGAGGTACGTCACTGGAATGGAGAGAAGGCCTGTGCTCCACCCGTGAGGGATGCTGGGACTGGGCTTGGCGGATAAAGGCTAATGCCAAGAGCAGGCACCAGAAGGCTGTGTACCTCCGTCAGCAGAGAAGCTGGTGGGAGGCGCAGGGAGGAAAGAGGGACTGGGGGCATCAGACCCTTCCCAGAAATCTTCAAAGCATCCCCATGTCCTTGGCACCACCTAACACCAGACACCAATCATCTAATTCTCTTTAAAGCAACAGCCTCCTGTTTTGACCTCCCTGCTCCCTGTCCTCTCTCAAATCTACAAAGTTGCTCCCCAGGTGACGGATGTCCACCACCTCCCCCACACCCCCGCCCCGGCCTCAGTTGGTTCTCTGCAGAGGAGCCCAGCTCTTCCCTGAGTGCCCTCCCCAAGCACGTTTGGAGTGGACACAGCCCAGCTCTCACTATATGGCCTTGGGCACAGAGACCCTTGTTCTGAACAGGAGTGAGGGGTGGGAACCTGGCCCGAGCTGGGTCAGTCTTTCCTGGGAGGGTGGGATCAGGACAGTTTCCAGCTTGTTTCTGCCCAGGATTTGGCCTGATGACTTGTAAACTCGGGTGCCGTGGTGGTGGGAGCAGGGGGAGCATCTTCTTGCATCAAGGGCAGGAAATGTAAAGAACTGCTCTGCAGAGAGAAAGGACGGAGCAACCACAGCGAGAGCAGAGGCAGAGAGGAGGGGAGAGGAAAGCTCTTGCTTAGCAGCCTGGGAGGCGATTCAGGCCCCAGGCTGCCTCAGAGGCTTGGCAGCACTTCCCACCCGGGATTCCAGGAGACCCTCCCATGTCCTCCAAATGTAAACTCTTTTCTGCTTAACCCAACTCCGTTCAGGCCTAATTGGCCAAGAACCCCAAGTGCTGCATAGTCTGGCCCATGCACCTGTGTTTCCGGAGTGACCCTTGCTGGCCAAGCTCCCATCTTGCAAACCCTGGGCTGTTGCCCACCCTCCTGGAATGTCCCCCTCTGCCTTCCCACCCTGTGGGACCTGCCCCAAAGCCCTCCTCCTCACTAGCCTTTCTGGGCTGCTGGACACGGTTTGAGTTCATTTCCTGGCTCAGTATCTTCAGACTGAGCCGGAGGTCAGCTGAGGGCCTCTCTGTACCTTACCCTTCAAACTCCCCAGCCCCTCAACTTTGCCTGATAAGCCCCAGGTAGTAGAGGAGAGAGGGCAGGTGCCTGTGGTCACAGGACACCAGCAAAATTCCCCCAGTGGGAAGACCCCGGCCAAGCCAGTGGGTTCAGCTTTTGCCACCTTCCTGCTTTGTGTGGGCCGAGATGGATCCATACAGGTTCCTCCTCCCACTCTCTGGGCACGGGGTGTGTCACACACTCGGGTGTGCCGTGTGTGCGCCCACAGCCAGGGCCCCTGCTGCCAGCCAGCACAGAGGACCAAAGGCACACCACCCAGCTAGTAAAGAGGTCTTTTATTTCCTTCCACATTAAACAGAATTGGGCTGCTGTGCCTGTCGCCCCTGCTGGGGGCAGGAAGAGCCTTCCAGCAGCCTGGGCCCCCTGTGGCACCCATCCTCCTGGTGCCAGGGCCGTGCCATCTGTTGGAAGAGGGCCAGGGAAAGGGGAGGAGTGCCAGAAGGAAATGCCAGAGAATCCTGGACAGCGGCCGGCAGGGGGGGGGAGAGGGGGCAGGCCACAGGGGGATTCCCCAGCTCGATGGACTGGAAAGGCAGCCAGGCCTCCACACCCAGTAGGGCCCTCCCTCGCAGCAAGTGGGGCCACAGAGCCACAGGGCCGGTTTGGGAAGTGCCGGTCAAAGGCCATCCGGGGTCACTGGGGTCACAAAGGGGAACTTCCTGCTACCTGAGCCTCCTGACACAGGCCCCCTCAGGCCCTTGAGGCCCAGCTCTCTGCACAGGCCACAGGCTCAAAGGGGCCCTAGGATCCTGAGAACGAGGTATTCTATGAAGCTGGCCGGCCCAGCAGGCTGCACCATGGCCCCAGGAGTCCCGGCCTCGGGTTCCAGTGCTGAGAACCTCCTTAGGATCTTGTGTTTCTTGGCCTGCCTGCCCCTTGGCCGTACAGAGCTGCTGTGTGTGTGTAAGGGTTGTGGGGTGTGGGAGCTGCAGTTGGACAGAGGGCAGCTCTGGAATGGGGGCTCTGGCTCTTGTTGAACTCACCCTAGATCTCTGGGGATGCCCCCCTCAGCCTCCCAGGTACCAACCCTGCCTGGGCCCATGCTTTCAGGAGTGAGAGTGGCATGTTAGAGCCACAGCATCCACAGGGGGTGCAGCACACAGTGGTGCTCAGTAAGCAGCTGTGGGTTGACTGTAATGTGTGTATGTGCAGATGGACTTGTGCACAGTGTGTACACACGCACAGGCATGTGTTCACGGCACATGTACATGTTATTGACACTGCAGTGTGCATGGTTATGTGTGCATGGGGAAGTGTACACAGTGGTGAAGCCTGCGTGTGCCTGACAGGGGAACCGTGAATGCACACTGATTCCTGCTGGATGGAGGGATATGGGCATGGACTCCGAGGGTATGTGTTCACTCAGGAGAGGGTTCCCAGCAGCAGACTCCGGCGCACCTGTGGGTGTGGTGCATGCCCTGGGCCGGGAGCATTCACTGCCAGCTGGCACAGCTCTCGGGCAGACTCTGTAGAATGGCCTCCAAGTTCTGCTTGTCAGCACGGACTTCAGCAAGGTCACTCTCAAAGCTCTGGATCTGTAGCTCCTGCTGCTCAGATTCCTGCTCCAACAGCCTCAGTTTCCCCTGCAGGGACCCGGGAGGGCCCAGCCGCAGCCTCAGGCGCTCCAGTGCCTGCTGGGTCTCATTCAGGGCCTGGGCAGGGGCTCGATGGGTGTCCAGTGACTCTGCAGAGGGGTGGAGAGCCTCAGCATGGGCCAGCTCCCTGCAGGCCCCAGAAGCCTGCTCAGCCCCCACCCCAGAGACCCTTCCCAGTCCAAACCTTCCAGGATTCCGACTGCCCACAATCCACCAGGGAAGCAAGGGACCAAAAGGGCAGTGTGGTGACAGCCTGGTCTGGGTACCCCACCAAGCTCATGTGCAGACTCTGGGACTTTCCTCCAACAGGTGGCACGGGGCAACTGTTAATTTTTGTTGTTGCTATTACTATTATTGTTTTAAAAAGGCAGCCTTGGGTGACTCCTGAGCCCATCTCCTCATCTATAAAGCAGTGGTGTGTGCAAGGTCCCATGATGCCTGCTGGTCCAGCGTGCCACATCCATGCACCAAGAGCACACACTTACAAAGCCCATCCATGCTGGCTATGGGGGGATGTGTGGCTGAAATCTGGGTCTCTTGCTTCAGCATGAGGGCCCGGGAGACAGATGGACAGAAAGGGCTATAGACCTGGGAAGCGGGCGGGGGGCGTCTAGCCCTGGCCCTGCAGGGGTTAGCTCTATTTCTTGGGGTTAAGGACTTCCTGGAGCCTCCCCAGGAATAAAACAAAGGGGTGTGGCCAGGTGCTCACATGTGAACAGGTGGTGATGGTGGCATGGAATCCACAGGCTGCCTGCCCCGCCTGGCCCTTGTCATTAAGGGTGACAGTCAACAAGAAGATGGCTCAGCCAGGTGACAAGGAGGTAAGTTCTAAATGGTATAGAATCCCACAGGATCCCACAGGATCCCACTGGGCCCCAGGGCTCCCCACGGCCTCGAATTTCCTGGATAATGAAGGCTTCGTGGAAGGGCGGCCAGGAGCTGAGCCAGGGCAGGGAGAGGCAGAGGGGGCTGAGAGGCCCTTGCTCAGGTCCTGCTCCCAGCAAAGACCTGGGAGGCCCCACTGACCTCAGGAAAGTCCAAACGGCCTGGCCTTGGAGGAGACTGAGAACTGGGTTATAGTCTCCATTCTACCTGCTTATCTGGGGCTCCCAGGGGTAAAGTGGGGGGTCCAGGTGGTGCCGTTCACTCCTGCATCCCCAGGTCAAGCACCGTGCAGGAATGAATGAGTGAATGAATGAATGAATGAATGAATGACAAGGACAACAGCTGGAGCAGTTTAGCCTCGTAGAGCTCACAGGAAGATCCCAGAGGGGTCCCAGGGACAGGGGGTCCCCTTACCCAGCCTGGCAAGCAGCTCAGACAAGGCCTTGACGTCCCTCTCCAGGGAGGTGCGTGATTCCCGGAGCTGCTGCTTCATCTGGCTCAGCCCGGCACCCACCTTCCAGGGGGAGAAAAGAGGAGGAGCGTGAGTGGCTCCTGCCGGCTCAGGGCCAGGAGGCAAGGGGGCAAAGGCCTTGGCATACGTACCCGCTCAGCTTCCTCCAGCTCCTGCCTCCGCGCTCCTGAGACTAGCACCTGCCGGGCGGCCTGTCGGAGCGTCGCCCGCGTCTGGCTGGACAGCCGGCTGGCACGGCGGCGATCCTGCTGCCCCTCCCGCAGCAAGGCCTTGGCGAGCTATGGGTGGGTGCCAGCGCAGCAAGGAGAGTGAACAGAGAACGTCCTTTCAGAGGCAGAGACCACTATGGCAATGACGCCAAAAGGTGTAACAGAGTCAGCGAGAGCCGGGGAGACGCGCATCCATTAGAACTGGGCCCCAATTAAAAAAACACACACATGCAAAGCCTAGAGGTTTAGGGAATCCAGCCAGCCAGACTGACGTGTGCGTCCTGGTTCTGTGATTTTAAGGTACTGAACCAGCTGGGCCTCAGGTTCTTCACCCGTCCCCTGGAGACAGCAATGACACCCGTTTCTGGAGGAATCACCCACGTGGGGCTCCAGAGCTGAGCCCGGGGCCCCCTGAGCCCTCCTGAGTGTGGAGTGCTCAGCGTTGCAGCCAGGGAGGGGCGGGTCTGCAGGGGCAGCTCTTATACGTCGGTTCTCTCACGGGGACACCACTGCCATCACATCTGTGTCCCTGACCTTGGCACTGCTCCTGGCCAACAGCTCGGCTTCCTTGCCCCTCTTCTTAGCACTGGAGGAGACAGGTCCTGCGTTTCCCAGCATCCTCTCCGCCTGCTTGGTCTTCTTTCTCGCATCCTCGAGGAGCCGGCCCCGGACGACGCCTGCCCTCCTCCTCAGCACAGCCTGGTCCCCGGGCCGAGGAAACTGCAGCTTCATCCCTGCGAACCCGGCCGAGGCATCAGGAGGGCCTGGGTCAAGGCTTGAGAGCCTGCTGGTGCCCGACCAGCCTCGGACCCTCAGCCAACAGGAGGGGAGGTCAGGATGCATGAGACCCGTGTGCGACCTGCTCGGGCTTACGGAGCGGGGTGGCACACAGACAAGTGAGGCGCACTGCCCAGTGAATTTAAAGATTCACATTATATCGTGATGCTTATTAAAGGCACAAGTTACATGGCGATCAATGCCTGGGCCACTGTTGGAGATGGGGAACCACAGCACACTGCACTGCAAAATCCACGGAGCTCCTTGTTTGTATGTACTGCCTATTTCTAAAAAGGCATCGAGGCATCTTCTAATAGCTAAATCAAGGGTTGGACCATTAAAGAGAAAAACCGAGGGCCACCTGTAACTGGGGGTGATGAAGGAGAGAAGAGGAGGAGTGGGAAGTGCCAGAAAATTCAGACAATGACATTGTAAGTGATAAATGCCCTATTTACTGCTGAGCTTCCTAGCAACCAAGGAAAAAGGGAAATACGATTCACATAGATTTTGTTATCTAATAAGCAGCAGGTTTCTTCTGTAAAGAGAGACTTTTTCCTTTCCTTTCAGATAAAATTGTAAGGGAAATCTATCGTGCGGTGTACTGATTACAGCAGACAAAGTCAAATTTTAAAAAGAACTGAGCCTCCTAACCTTCACGGTCATAACATGACATAATTGCTCTATGAAGATATTCCAGAAATTAGACCTACTTTGCTTCTTCTACACAAAATTGATGTTCCTTAAAGTGTATTCTGTGGAGTCCTAATTCTACAGGGTGTTCATAAATGTCAGGAGACATGTCGATTAAGGTAAAATAAAGTGAACCAAGCTTCTTTATTGCAGGACTTCTCAGGGCCTTTACTATACTAAGGTGTGCCCTGTAAGGCCTCACCGGGTGCTCCAGCACAAGGCATTTCCTAAACCTATTTGAACACAAACCCTCTCTTGGAAGAGCATGTTGTTGGCCAGGGGCCCCTGAGCACACCCTGGGGAAGACTGCTCTACATTTCATTCAGCAAAGTTTCCTTTCATCCTGGATGCCAACCCAGCACAGGCCAACTGATGGTAAGAGAGAGTGTCTCCAAAAAGGGGTAGGAGCAGGGAAAAGAACCTGGGGTTAGAGGTTTGAGTGCGTCCTTGTGTGGATTACAAAGCAGTGCCAGGGAGGCAAATCTCCATGTAGTACCTGCAAGAATGTTCTTATTCTCAGAACCATCCAACAGTAGAAGGTGATACCTTGTGAGGTAGTGAGTGCATCATCACCGGAGGCAAGCAAGCTAAGGGGAGATGAGTCCCCTGTCTGGCGAGAGGGTTGCAGCACATGACTTTAGGACCCCTTATAATTCTAATGTTTTAAAATTAGAATCCTAATTTTCCATCATTATATATCATTGAATTTACATTCTCACACACAACCATGCCTTTCCCACTGGAAGCCCCCTGACCAATGGGTCCCCAGGACTTCAGAGAGCAGAGGGACCTAGAGAAGGGAAGCCCTGCCCAGTTCACCCTCTGCCCAGAGGGTCCGGGCCACGGCTGGAACTGCATCTTACAGGCAGTGGGTGGGGCTGGGGAGGGAGCTATAGAATCAGGCAGAGGCCTGTCTCTGGTCTCAGACCCTAAGAGGTATCGGGGGCTCAGAGTGTGTTCCTGCCTTATCCACTGTACTGGAACAGAGCCACAAATTAAGGGTGAGGGGGCTTCTCTCTGGAGCAAGCGGACATCACAGGAGCCCATGACACGGGGGACACCAAGGTGAAGAATCATAATACTGGCTGGTTTCTTTTCAGCTCAGCTCTGATCCAGGAATAGAGATACCACTTCCTTTCCTCGGTCTGTCCATCTGTCAAATGGGAGCATTTAGCCTCATTTTCCTAAAGCTCAAAAAGAGACCTGGACCAGCATCGACCCATACCCCAACCAACTCTGCATCCCTCTGCGTAGCCCCAACTCAGCTCCGGGCCGCGGCAGTCATGTTTGTGCCAGGCAGCGAGAGCCCCGCCAGAGAGGACTGGACTCGGGGCGGACAGCCAGTGGCATCAGATTCTCTTCCCACATGGTTCTGGGAGCTCTGCGTGGGGTCTGACGATGGACGGCCACATGGACAAGTACCCGGTGAGTAGTATGTGAGACGGGGAGAGACAAACAGCCACTGGAGAGGTCCTGACGGAGGCGGCTGTCCCCTTGGCTTACGCCCACGTGACTGGACTCCCATCCCCTGCAACCAAGCGTGATCAGGGGCTGTCATGGACATTTGTGCATCAGTGAGCCTAGGGCTCAGCAAGGCTTGCCTACCTTCCAGGTCAGCCAGCAGGGTCCTGGCTCCCATGACGGTCACTGTGGCAGCCTGGACAGACGAGGAAGCCCGGGTGAGCGCGGCTCTGGCCTCATGCTGCAGCTGCAGAGAGAACAGACCGTCTGGGCAGGTGGCACGCAGGTGCGCCGCCCGCAGTCGGGTCAGGTGGGCGCCACACCGCATATACTAGGTCCCAAAACATCACCAAAACGCTGACAATTAGTTATGCCGTTTACCAGGAATACCTGGTGTGTATTATTATACAAATGTTAATCCCCGAATATCTCTCCCAAGAAATCACCTGCCCTGGAAGCGCTTGAAGGGAAACAAACACAGCTAAAGGCAGGAAGGACAACCAAAGATTTCTCTTCAGAAGGCCGCTGAATCTCAAAGAGCAAATCTGTTTCTTATACAACTTTTACCATAGAAAACCAGCTTCTTCCCCCCACCACCGAACAAGACCAGATGAACAATATGGGTTTGATGGATGAATTCCCTGATCATTTAACACCGTCTCCCGTTCTGGCGGCAAATGCCAACCTGTGGCTTAGCACCACGAGCAGGCGCTCGGTAACCATCGGGCAGGTGAGCTCATGAGTGAAAGGATGAATGACTAAGAGCCATCCCAGGTGTAGCTAATGCTGACTAAGGGGTGGGCATGGCCCTGCCTACTGCTGCTGCTGCTGTCTCTCTGTCCATCCGTCTCCTGCCCTGGCTGGCTGTGAGGTTCTCTGGAGTTTGGGGGGAGGCACCGGAGGGATTAAAAGAACTACTCTGGTCTTTGCCCCTCCCTCCCCTGCAGCCTGGCCCCCAGATCCCCCCTGGGGCAGCCCCAACCTCACCCAGGTGCCTGCCTCAAAGGACACATGCCCACCTGTGTGAGGGGCTCTGTCTTGTGCAGTGCGGCGCGGGCAGTCGCCTGGAGGGCCCGGGCAGCCTCAGTGATCACGCGCTCCCTGGATGTCACCGTCTTCTCCAGGGCCTGCACCTTCAGGTTCAGATCCCTGGCCCGGGAATTCTGAGGCTGCAGGGAGACAGAGGCTCAGGCAGGACCTGGCAGGGAGGTCCACGGGGCCGATCCCCTCCCGGAGAGGCACCAGGGGCAGGGACTGCGGGAGTAGGGGCATGTGGACACAGGGAAGAAGAGGGGCTAGGGCGAGGGTGAGACCTGTCTCTTGAGGCTCAGATTCCAGCCCCGCCAGTCTCTAAAATGCAGCCTCGCCAAGTCAGCTAACCTCCCTGACCCGCATTTCCTTCCCCAGGTCCACAGTCACTCAGCTGGAACCTTGGGGCGGGTGTGTCTCCCAATTCAGGCTTTCGGGCCCTAGGGGAACACCCCACGCAGATACTGCATGGTATCTAACAGCCTCAGCGGCATCTGGGAAACCAGCCCTGAGGGCCAAACCCTTTACTACCCACGGGGGAGAAGCAAAGGCCCTCGTAAGCAGCCCCGGGCCTGTCAGTCTTGCTCATGGTTTGCCCCAAATGCATTTATAGACGCTTCGCCTTTTTTCAAAGCCCAGTTCCCGAGTTCAGGGATTGCAGGATTATAGAGAAGGCGTGATAAAGCTGATTTATCCAGAGGCGATGGGTGCAGGGTAGCAGGCACAGAAGGGAGGCCCGCACCCATTAAGGGTCACCTGTGCATTACCGACCCATCCCTCCCAACTCCCCATGAACATGCAGCCCTCGAACGACCCAGTGGGCGAGCTCCACCTGACAGACAAGTAACTGAGGCACAGGCAGGAAAAGTCCTGGACCAAGGTCACGGCTGGAGCAGCGGAACTGGGATTGATCCCAAGTCCGCCTGGTGCCATTGCTAACGCCACTGTGATGGGGAAGGGGCCCCGCCTTGATATTATTATTGTAATCAACAGCCAAGATCAGCGAGCTCTACCTCTGTGCCAGGCAGGCGCTCTGCCAAGCCCTGGAGGCGGATTATCTTGGTTTTTATCGACTGCTATAGAGTTAAAAATAAGCCACAGCATCTGCCCCTGCCTGGGCCGTGCTGGTTTCCCAGCTGCCACGTTCTCCCCTGTCCCCACCCCATGCAGAGTGCCAAGGACGGGCAAGCTGACCAGTGCTGCAGGGGCAGCCAGTGAGGTCAGGTGCAGGGCGGCACCTGTGCCAACGTGCTGCAGGGCGGCCAGCACCCTCTCTGCTTTGGGCAGCGCCTCTGCCACGGCGGTGCCCAGTGCCTTCTGGGCTGCCTGGACCTCCTGGTACCTGAGAGGAGACGCGGAGTCAGGATGACCTAAGGAACAGGGCCCAGGGCCTCCCTCCCCATGCCTGTGCTGTGCCCCCGCCCCCGCCCTCGATTTCTCCCAACTTGCAGGGCAGAGCCTCGCTCTGTGGATCGGTTCCAGCAGCTGGCCTCAGGAACTGGCCGCCGCTCTGCCGATTTCTCATGAACTGAAAAGTCAGTAGAGGGAACACATTCTTGTTCCTTCATTCACTCAGTTCAATCATGCTTTTCTGGAGGGCCCACACTTGGTTTCCACTCGAGAATCACACGCTTTGCAAATGTTTGGCTCCTCTGCATGAAGCATAAAGAGCAAAATGCCTACTGTAGGGGAAGGGGCAGTGGCCCAGGCTCCGTCTTGGCTCCGCTGTGCCCTTCGGTGACCTTGGACATGGAGACCCCGGGGCGGCATGATCGCTCTGTGGCCCTTTAACCCTGAGGTACTGTAATCAACCAACTAGAAGAGCTCTCCTGTCCTGTCCAGCTGTCCACACCCACCCGGCCAAGCCCACCCCGCCAGGGGCACTGCCAGGGCATCCTGACCTGCCACACACAGTCAGGGAAAGGAAGCCGGAGGAACCAGCAGCTGCTGCCCAGGCCCCATCAACTCCAGGAGGCCAAACCAAGCTCCGATCAACATCTGGGAGGGCTCACCTGTCCTCCAGCTCCTGCTGGGCCTCCAGGGCCACGCTTCCTTCCACCAGACTCCAGAGAAGCGTGTAACTGGTGTTGGAGGCGAGCAGAGCCCTCTGAGCATTGGCCTTGATCTTGGCGGCCGTGTCCTTGTGGCTGTGTGAAAATTTCCTCTGACCATGGCTAAGAGCTCACACGGAAAGGGACCTTGGCCCCAACCCACAGTCCCACGGCCTGGGCCTCTTGCCATCCCAGAGTACACCCACGCGCTCTGCTCGGCACAGGACAAAGACCAGCAGGAAGGGGGCCCACACCCTGGTTCCTGTCTCACACCATTTATGCCTGTTGTCCTGGCAGAATGAGGAATAGGGCCCTTTATCACACCTACAGCCTCACTCTGGACAATAAATTATACAGTCACCCTAGTAAAGACAGCATAGAAGCGGGTGTCAAGGGTGTCAAGAGAGCCTGGGTTTGAATCCTGACTCTCCCTTGCAAGCTGTGTGTCCTTAAGCAAGTCACTTAACTTCTCTGAATCTGTTTTCTCATCTGTAAAATGGGCCTAAGGTCCCCAGAGTACAGCTGAGGGGGAAAACAGCTGCGGGTTCTGGGTTTTTAGGACCTTAAGCTGCTTCTTAAAGGTGGTGGATGACACAACCCAAACATCCGTCGATGGAAGGCTGTATAAACGAGTGTGTCATATCCCCACCATGAACGTGATCTGGTTGTGAAAAGGAGTGAAGGGCTGGTGCATGCTACACATGGGTGATGCTTGAAACTATCCTGCTAAGTGGAAGAAGCCAGATGCAAAAGACCGTATATTGTGTGATTCCATTTCCATGAAATGTCCAGAATAGGGAAATCTATAGACAGAAAGTAGGTTAGTGGGTGCCAGGGGCTGGGGAAGCTAAAGAGAAATGGGGAGTGATCCCTATGGGTACAAGGTTCGTTTTGGGGGGGATGGCTGCACAACTCTGTGAATATACTTAAAACCACCGAATTACACACTTCAAACAGGTAAATTTTAGGATGTGCAAATTTTGTCTCAATAAAGCTGTTATTTAAAAAAAAAAAAAAGACAGTGGATGCTCTCAGGTGCCTTCGGTCGGCCAAAGTGCCTTCGAGCCCCGCCACCGGCATCCGGGAGGAGCTCGTGCTGTCCTTACAGACCTGCCCCTCCCACAGCGGTGATACTTCCCCCCACCAGGCAGCTCCCGTCCTCCTCTGATTCCAACCCCTAGGGTGGGGATACCTGCGGAGCTAATCCTGACCCTGGAACCCCCTGGAGAAAGGGCTGGGCCCCCTCCCTAATGGTGTGGGCAGGACCTCACCATGTTCCCAGGGCCTGGGGGCTCACCTCCTGGCGAGGGCTCGGGCCTCCGTGGCCAGGCGGCTCCAGTTGGCGGGCCGGCTGGGGACTTCCTGAGGAATCACCTTTAGAGAAAGGAGGGAAAGAGGAGAGAACGGATGGCCCATCCCTGAAGGGCAAGGGGCCACGCCTGGCTAAGTTCTCGGGCAGAAGTGGACAGGGCCAGTTACTTCAGAAATGCTCTAGGTTGGCATCCGGGGAGCGGTGCCCTAGAACGTGAAAGTGACAGTAATGACACCCACCACCCGCAGGGTTCACTGTCTGCTTGGACTACGCCCTGCTCTTTGCATGCTATCTCACTGCACCAGCAGGGGAGGCTCTGTGTGTCTCCCATCTTGGCAGATGAGGAGACCGGGCCTCCCGAAAGGGGAAGGAGGTGTGCCCCAGGTCACCAGGTCAATGGCTCAGTGTGTGGAGGGGACTCTGGCATACCAGAGATGCCAGGACAGCGGCTACGTGCAGAATCTCCTCCTCTGAGGACTCCAGTGTCGCTTCCAGGTCTGCCAGCTGGATACAGGTCTTGTCGGCTCCGGCCTGGGCACAGCGGGCACTCCCGCTCAGCGCCTGCAGCTGCTCCCGGGCAGCCTTCACAGCACCCTGGAGGCCTGTCACCTGCACCAGGAAGGCTTCCCGGAACCCTACAGAAAGCCCGCAGTCCAGGGGGGTTACAGAGGGATCGAGATTTCACACTAAAGCCCCCACCCTTGGGGGACCCCATCCGCGCCCTCCACTCTTCCTGGGCACAGCTTAACGCTAGCACCAGGCCTGAGCACCACGTTAGTTACCAAGGAAGAGCCTTCCCATTTTACAGACGCAAAGCCTGAGGCCCAGGGACCCAAGGTCCCCCACACGGGAAGTCAGCCGAGCATGTGGGGCTGGCAGGAACTCAGGCCTTCTAGAGCCACAACGAGCAACTCCCAAATCTGGGGCGACAGTAAAACTGCCTCAAGTCAGCAGCGTCATCCCCCGCGTGGCTCCGAGCGGGCGCCGCAGTGCACAGCTCCCCGTTTCGATAACTAGTCCTGCTCGCAGGCCTCAGCTCGCGTATATCTGGCTGCTAACGGAGTGCAGACACTTATAAACATAAAACTTCACAAATAACCAACTTCCTTTCAATGCTCCCTAAATTTCAGCGCCTCAGGCACAATCCCTCCTGGCTTTAGCAACACACTTTTTCCCTTACGCACTCATTCGTTTCCTACGCTGGGAAGATACCTGTTCAGCACCCGGGACAGCGCCTGGCAACGCTTTGTTGAGTGAGTGCATCGGAGTGACCCCAGGTTTAGAGTCTCACTGAGCTTACAGCCTGGGTGGCGCAGGGGTGGGGGACCGATGCCACAGTAAGAGCCTGACGTAATAAAGTTATAAGGTACAACTGGGCAAGGGACCTCGGAGGAGAGGCCCAAGGGCAGGCAGGACTGTGTTGTGGGAGAAGCCACCTCAGCAGGGAGGTCAGATAGGCTCTCCTAGCAAGTGGGTCTGAGCTGGGAGCCCTCAAAGCCTCTGAGACCAGACTGAAGGGCTCCAAAGGGGGGCATCTGACCAGCCAGCCCTCCCCTTGCCTCCCAGTCTCCCGTTGTACCTTGCAGCTGGTGGTGGCCCTGGTAGGTGTCCCCCCGAGGAGCCTCTCCCTGCAGAATGTCCATCGGTTCCCAGGGCCTTCCACAGTCAGAACCCTGTAGCCACCCCTCCATCAGGGTCAGCATGGCCTTCAGCTTGGCAGCCTGGAGGGGACAGGAAAGGAAATGCTGCCTTGACACTTCCCTGTGGCTTCTGTCCAGCCTGCCCTCCCTGAGGGTCCCTGGACCTCATAGCAAGGACACACTAGGCTTCTGAGAACCAGCCCTGTCCACCCTTCCCTCCCCCCACCCACAGCGCCTGTAGGCATTCAGCCCATCACACCCCTGTCCTGCCAGAGGAGGGGGCAGGGAAGGGAGGCCCAGGAGAAATCCTGTCCAGCCTGCTGTATGCCCAGGACTTGGCACAGAGCTCGGGTGCCGGGGTACTTGCTGGCTGAGTAGTGAGTATGCGAAGCACCGTCCCCCAGCACTGTGATCTGCTAATGACACGGACAGGAACTGTATTCACAGGGCACTCCCTGGGAGCAACCGCCGGCCACACACCAGCTCACACTCACCCTGTAGCCACCCCGAGAGGCAGGGGCGACAGGTCCCCAGCCCACTCCTCAATTTCAAAGTCCAAAAGTCTCCGAAAACCACAAGGCCTCCCACTCCTCATTTGATGGCAAATCGGGTTTAAATAACCATGAACTCATTTGGAAGCAAAACCGTTCTGAACGAGGCTCCTTGTGGTCTTTATGGCCCCCTTGGTGTGGATTTTCATTCATCTGTTTTCCCTGCAGGCACCTCACTGGGTTTGATGGCGGTCTGGCCCGGGCGCCCCTGGGGTGGCACCTAACACTTGGCTCATGTCATCTTTTCTCTCTACGGTACCATCATCCCAAAAGCTCCGCCTCACTGGCCTCGGGTGAGGGGCTGCAGGTCTGCACTCACTCCATTTTGGAGTAAGAGAGAGACACTGAAGCAAGACTGTCACCTGCCGGGTGCATGACAACTAGCTGGGCTGGGGGAGGGGAACCCAAGCTCACGGTCCTGCCCTCCGCACCATATCACCTCCCTGCTGGAAACTCTACGTGTGCCCCTGAGTGGGCATCACCTTCCTGACCCTCCCCCAAAGGGCCATCTGTGGTCCCATCCTCGCTGAGCTTGAGAAAGTGTGAGACCTGGGTGCTTGGTAAGGAAATGGGCCAAGAGCTCCTGCCCGCTGAGGAGCGGGAAAGGGCAGAGGTGAGGGCTGGCCCAGGCTAGCACGGGCCTGGAGCTGGGTGTGCCCAGGGAGGAGGCAGCTGGTGGTCCTAGAGAGCTTGAGAACTACAGATGAGTGGGCAGTTCCCAGTGCCCAGCACAGAGCTGGTGCTGGCTGGCGATGAAGAGAAGGTGAGGTGGGCCTGGGCACGGCCTGGGCAGGGCAGGCTCACCTCCTCCTTCACCAGGGTGTAGCAGGAGGGGCACTCCTGGCACTGTGCACTGTCAGCCGTGAGGAAGAAGTTGTCCTGGCAGCGGTCACACTTGTAGCCTGTGAAGCCGGGCCTGCACACGCACGTGCTGTTCTCGTGGCACTGGGGCGAGGCAGAGCCCAGTGGGGAGCACCTGCAGGCTGGGGGTGCAGGGCAGATGGCACTGGGTGCCCTGATAACCACCCAACACCGGGACCCCAGGGCCCCTGCAGCCTTACATTAGGCTGCTCCACACCCCCCTGGGCAGCTCAAATACACTCCTGGGTCCTTCCCTGACTCAGAGGTCAGATGCCCGAGATGCTGGCTTGTTTCAGGGTTCCCAGGATCTGAGGAACTGTCACACCATCTAACTACACAAATGAGCAAACTGAAGCCAGAGAGGTGACGCATGGGCCCTGGTACACAGGAATTTAGCAGTGGCATCTGGGGCTAGATTCTTGGCCCCCCCCAGCACCCCTGCCCACTCGGAGGACCTGCCTTTCTCTCTCTTGCTGCACAGCCGTCCTCCCTGTTGGTCCTCTTTGCCCAAAAACCTCAGGCCACACCCTCCAGGTGGACCTGGGAGGACCTGGCTTCCTTACCCCGGCAGCCTTTGATGGAGAAGCCAAAGAAACCCAGCTGGCATCTGTCACAGGTCTGGCCCTCGACACCTGGGCGGCAGGGGCACTGCCCAGTCTCCGGGTGGCAGTGGTTCTCCTGGGAGCCCAGTGGGTGGCACTCACAGCTGTGACAGGGAGGACCTGGGTGTGAGTGAGCTCTGGCACTCCCAGCCCAGTGGCTGCCACTGCTGGGGCCTTCAGGTCACACCCTCTGCTGAGGAGGCCCCATCTCCGTGTGGGTCCATATCAAACAGCTTCCCCTGAGCTGTGCCCTGGGAAGCAGTCTCCCAAAATGCCCCCCCCCCCTAAAAAATGGCTATGGAGACATATACATCTTGGAGACTAAAGCCCCCCTCCCTCCGCCCCCGGCCGTGGAAAATTCACAATGCAGTTAGCATATTAAAGGCTCTGTTTGCTTCACTGGGCATTTCCCTGGAGTCCACTGGTCCCCAAAGGCGCTGCTGTGTCCAAAAAGGTCACCAAGTGACAGCGTCACTGAGAAGGGAACCAGACACCAAACCGGCCCCCTGCCCACCTGGGCATCCCTTAGGGCTGCTCTTGGCCTGCATCCTGGGCTGGCAGGGCTGTGAGTCTGACCCCCAAGGGACTGTCCCTTTGTCCCCCTTCAGGGTAGGACACCGTGTACTTGGCAATGGGCCTAGGATGCACATTCCAAGCCAGGCCCCTCTCCGGAGGCTCCCTGGTGCTTTCTTCCATTGCGGTGAGACCCCAGGGGAAGGGCACCCATAGCCTCACCCCACCCACCTCCGGCAGCCCTTCCCGGGCTGGAGGTCGTAGAAGCCTGGGCTGCAGCGGCCGCAGTCCCGTCCGGTTACATGAGGCAGGCAGGAGCACTGGCCGGTCACTGGGTCGCAGGCTCTCTGCTCACTGACTGAGCCCCCTGGGTTGCAGCTGCAGGCTGGGGGTGGGAACGGGGGAGGGGGTTGGGAAGCCATGCAGATCATCTGTTTAAGCTTCGGGGTGCTGGAGATGCAGGGAAGTCGGTCAGCCCAGCCTCCCACTCTGTTTCTGACCAAAGGCTCTAGGGCCAGGCTCACATCTCAGCCTGTTTGCTGTATCCTTGGAGGCAGCCCTGAGGGTCCTGCTGAGCCTGCCCTGGCCCTGCAGGCTAGAGGAAAGGCCAGAGACTCAACTGGGGGGGGTCACAGGCAGACAGACTGTACCCACTGTTTTGGGAGTCTCGACCCTGCTCTCCTGGGGCCAGCAGAGTGCTGCCAGGTGTCACGTGGAGAAAGGGCTCAGGAGCAAGTTTGGGGCAAACATTGAGCTCCTCCCTGCATCGCTTCAGGAGCCTTCCACGGCTGATGCACGCCACGGGCCTCTGAGCGGCGACACCAGGCTGTGAGTTAGCCCAGGCGGCAGAGGATGGAAGAACATCTCAGGCAGGAAGCACAGCCTGACGGGAAGCCCAGGGGCAGGAGGGATGTGACAAGGGGCCATCGGGACAGTCTCACGTGCTAACTGTGAGGCTTGAGATGAGCGCTAAATTATCAAGATGGGAGAAAAACAATCACAGGATCAGTTGATCAGATCCTAAGACTGGGGGAGACCTCGGGGAAGAGCAAACCCTGACACTTTCTGGGCAAGAAACAGAGAAGGTGAGGAAGCTGCCGAAGCTGCACAGCCTCGCGGAGCGGCCGGCTGGTCCAGGAGGTACTCACGGGCACACTTGTCCGCGGGCCGCAGGGCCAGCGCCCTCCCGTAGAAGCCTTCCTGGCAGCGCTCACAGCGGGCACCTGTCGTGTTGTACAGGCACCGCAGGCAGTGGCCGGACAGGGGGTCACAGTTGCCCACGGCGTTGGGGTCCACGTTCCCGCTGCACTGGCACGGCCGACAGGGCTGGCAGTCTCCAGAGAGCCCCAGCGGGTCCCCAAAGAAGCCATCGTCACAGATCTCGCAGCGCCGCCCTAGGGAAAGGCGAGGGCTATGTGTGGCGGAGCGGGCAGGAGGAAGGCCAGCCCGTCAGGTCCACAAGGGGCGAGGGCGGGCCTGAACCGAGGCAAGCGCCCCTCGTATCCTTGTGGGGCAGAGCATGGGCTCCGGGGTCCGGCTGACCTGGGGCAGGGCCCAGCTCGGCCATCAGCTGGCTGTGTGGTCTTGGGCAAGTCACTGTGTCTCTGAACTCGGGTTCCTCGTCTACAAAGTGGGACAGGACTATGGAGAGGGTTTGGGGAGATCATTTGTGCAAAGCACCTAGCACAGCGCCTGGCACGTGGTAAACGCTCAGCAGTAGCGGCTGTCACCTTCTGTTCACCATCACCCATGCATGTCATCGTCACCGTTCTCTTCATCAGCATCTTGGTCATCTTCACCACCTCAGCGCCCGTCACCTGGATCAGTATCTTCATCAACGTCGGGGGCTCCACTATTATCATGATCAGCACCACCTTCCTCAGTAGCAGTATCCTGTCACCTTCATCATCATCTTCTTCATCACCACCTCGTCACTTTCATCATCTTCATCTTCATCACCACCTTGTCACCTTCATCATCTTCATCACCATCTACCACCTTCATCTTCATCACTATCATCTTGTCACCTTCATCATCATCACCATCATCACCATCTTCATCATCTTGACCATCACTTCATTGTTATCATCTTCATCTTGATCATTACCTGTCATCATTATCATCCACTGTCTTCATCATCGTCACCATCTTGTCATCTTCATCATCACCACCTTCATCATCATCACCATCATCACCTTCTTCATCACCATCACCTTCATCATCACCTTCATCTTCACCACCATCATCACCATCATCACCACCTTCATCATCTTCGTCACCATCATCACCTTCATCTTGACCATCACTTCACTGTCATCATTTTCACCTTGATCATTACCTGTCATCATTATCACCCATTGTCTTCATCATCATCACCATCTTGTCATCTTCATCATCACCATCATCATCATCACCTTCATCATCACCATCATCATCATCTTCATCGTCACCATCATCACCTTCATCACCATCTTTATCATCTTCATCATCACCACCATCTTGACCACATCACTGTTGTCATTTTCACCTTGCTCATTGCTTGTCACCATTACCACCACCGTCCTCATCATTGCCACCATCTTGACATTTTCATCTTCCTCTTTGTCGCTCTGTATCACCTTCCTTGTCACCATCTTCAGTGTTACTGTCGCCCTCGTCCCCCTCATCTGCCCTCAGCTGTGGCTGCTCCTCCTGTGGCTCCTGCCCCCTTCACCTTTTCTGCTCCTCGTGGCTCCTGCCTCCTTCGGCCTGATCGTTCCAGACGCCCGCAGCCTCCCTGGTTTGAACCAGGGTGGCCGCCTCATCTCCCAGCCCGCAGGGTCACTGTGAGGCTCAGGAAAGCTGGTGCGCGAGGAGGCTTTTGGCGGGTTGTGACCTGGGAGGTCCACTCTGGACACAGATGGGATGTAAAAGAACATACATGTTCCATGTGTGTTCCAATACATGTTCATGCAGTGTTAGCCTGTCCTTGAGAAACACAGCCATCTGTGTATGTCTGCATGAAACATTCAGCTGGGGGACCCACAGACCTCAACAGTCGCCACAGTCCCCTGGGGGTGGCGGGATGACAGGCACATTCCTTCTTGCATGTACATTATGTTCCTCTTTACACTTTTACGGGGCAGTTTCAACCATTACAATGAGTATTACTCATTTTATAATTTAATGAATAGCCACTGTCATTGTGGAAGAGAGCTGCAGGCTCCCTGTGTCCTCGAGGCCCATCATTTGGTTGAAATCAAGCTAATATTACTAAAGGCAGGCAACCTGAAAACGGAAAGGAGGAATGCTAAGAAAGAAAAGAAACAATGGGGAGGGGAGAGTGAACACAGCTCAGGGCTGACGCGAGTGCCTGGCTCTGGGACTCCGAAACAGAAACGAGATGAGACGGGCAGGAGGGAGATGGAAGCTGGCGACGAAGACAAAGGCCCCACAGCTCACCAGCCGTTCACACTTGGAACTGGGCCAGGACAGCTCCCGGGGCAGGGGGCAGCCATGAGGTCCCGGGAAGGGCTGTCAAGGGGTCAGCGTGATGGGCAGGCGGGGATCAGAACTTGATCAGAACAGTCCCGACTCACTGTCCAAGTGAGCCTCTCCCATGCTGGGCTCTCACCAGGACCAAAGGCCACTGGTGTGATAAGGGCTGGCACAAGGCCTCAGACCTAATGTCTACCCAGGCATCCCTCCCAGGGTGTCCCCTCTACACACAGCAGTGCCCTGCTCTCCAAAATCCTCCCTTAGGTACATCTCAGCCTGGGTCAGCTGAACTCTCTACCTGTCCACACTCTCACTGAGTGGGCTGGGCTCCCCTCATGTCTTCAGAAAATGTGGGGATAGTTAGGGAAAGGGCAGGATGGTGGCAGGGTGGAGTGTGGGGTCCTGGGGTGGGACATCACTCCCTCAGTTCCTGGGATCCCTGCTTTGGGGCTCCCCAGGCCTGCTGCTTGCTGTTAGGGAGCTGCTGTCAGAGAGGTTCCCAAAGAAGCTGACATTTGACAGGACCAGTTTTGACTTTCAAAATCTCACCTGGATGTGCTCAGTGGCCCAGGTTCTGCCCAGAACCCACAGCAGCCCAGGGCCCCGGTTATGGGGCTACCGGACTCAGTGTCCCCAGAAGTCACGCCTGCAACCCCTAAGCTGGCCCTCCCTCATCTGCCACACTCCAAACCCAGAACCCCGCTCCTGGAGCCCAGGCGGAGGCAGGACCCCAGGGCACGAGCCACTCACCTCTCTGGCCTGGGGGACAGTGGGTACACACCACCTCTCCGCTCCCTGGGATGGTCGTGCACGACGACTGTCCAGGGCACGGACAAGGCTGGCAGTCGTCGGCTCGGCCTGCAAAGGGGTTGCCGTAGAAACCTGGCAAGCAGCGCTCACAGGATGGGCCCTCCGTGTGGTGGCTGCATAGACAGATCCCTGAGGGACGAGATAAGCACACGTTTACCGCTGCCCGAGCCCAGAACAGCGCAGAGATGGCGAGCAGGCTCCTCGTGGTGGGGGTCACAGAGCACGTCCCAGCGGAACGGGAGGGAGCCCTTCCACGCTGCAGGCAGCATGGCCCAGGGACGCAGAGTCCACCTCGGGTTCACGTCCACCATGTGAACCTGGGCAAACCGTCTAACACCCCACGTCTCAGTTTCCTCACCTGCAAAATGGGTACAACCACCTCAACTGGGCTCTGGCCTCAAAGGTTCCCGTCAGGATTCAGTGCAGCCAAAGTGCGCTGCACAGCGCCCAGCTCTCAGAATTGCTGTTACTGTTATCATTCCTATTTTCTATTCCAAAAGCTCTAGGGGAACCAGCAGACGGCACAGCTAATGACTCCGCTCAGCTTTCNGGGAATGCCCGCCTGCCCTGCTCGCCACTGGTCCCCGCCTTGGCCCAGCACCCAAATGCTCATCACTCCTCCCTCTGTCCGGGGTGGGTAGCAGTGGCTGCCCAGCCCCAGGGACAGATGGGGACTTGCCGAGCAGGGGGTCGTGGCGGGGCCAGGGGCTCTGGGCGACCAATCTGTCCCCTCTCGTGAGCCAACTCTGCTCCCTCGGTAGGGGCGGCCTGGAGCATTGCATGGGGGGCCTACGAGGCCCCATCTGGGCTCGGACGGCGATGCTGCATTCACGGTCCTCCCGGCTCGTCTGCTGCTTCCCGGGCCCCTGCCCTTTGGTAGCTCCACATGCAGCCTGAGGAAAGCTGAGCGGGCCCTCCTCTCCTCAAAGACCCGGCTGCTCCAGGACAGCGGCCCGGCCCTGACCCTCCCACGGCCTGAGCGAGACCCGTGTCCGGCAGGCCGCGGCCAGCACCTCCCGCCCAGGGCCCTGGGAGTCTCCCTGAGTCTTCTCCAGTCAATGGGAGGAGCAGCTCTGCCATCTACCGGCCGTGTGNCAAAACCTCTAGGGGAACCAGCAGACAGCACAGCTAATGACTCCGCTCAGCTTTCCTTTGCCCTTTCTGTGTGTCCTCCTAACCGCAGGGGCCCAGCGGGGCAGTGACACAGGCCCAGGATCCTGGCTGTGACACGAGGCTCTGTTGATGGGGCCTGTGGGTTCTCAGAGGCTCCCATCCATGGGTTTCTAGTGCTGGGGGGTTCTGTGAACCCCTTCTCCAGCCCCACAGCACCTGGAGTCTGCTCAGAGCAGGGACACTAGGGTCCGAGGCCCTGGCCAGGGACTGGGTGGGGAGCCTGTTTGGCAAGACTGCCACTTCCAGNCTGCCCCGCGCACAGGAAGGGGCGCCTCATGCTGCATTCACGGTCCTCCCGGCTCGTCTGCTGCTTCCCGGGCCCCTGCCCTTTGGTAGCTCCACATGCAGCCTGAGGAAAGCTGAGCGGGCCCTCCTCTCCTCAAAGACCCGGCTGCTCCAGGACAGCGGCCCGGCCCTGACCCTCCCACGGCCTGAGCGAGACCCGTGTCCGGCCGGCCGCGGCCAGCACCTCCCGCCCAGGGCCCTGGGAGTCTCCCTGAGTCTTCTCCAGTCAATGGGAGGAGCAGCTCTGCCATCTACCGGCCGTGTGGCCTCCCTCTCGCCAGGTAGACGGGACAGTGATGGTCCCGGCGTCCCTGGGATTTTTGCAGGATCCAATGACGTGGCGGACGCCTGGTGCGTGGAGGAACGCAGTGACTCCATTTAATCACTACTGTTTCCAGGGGTCACTCACGCACCCACACGGCCGACCCTGTGCTAGGTGTCGCCAGGTGACCTCATGATGGGGTGCCGGGAGACTCACCCGTGTTCGGGTCACAGGTGCCATGCTGGTTACAGGTGCAGGGGACGCAGTTGGCGTAGGGACCCCCCAGGGGTGTCTCCCTCTTATATCCTGGAGCACAGGATTCACAGAACTGGCCCACGTATCCCTTGGGACAGGAGCAAGTCTCCACCCAGGAGGCTGGGGGGGAAAGACCCCGCTGGGCAGACGTGAGCTGCACCTCAGTCAGGAACACTTGGCCTGGGAGGGAGAGGAGAGAAAGGGGGGGGCAGGGAGGGAGAGGGAGGGGGGGAGAGACGGAGAGAGGGAGAGA